CGGAACTAAGGATTTTAACATTCAAAAAGCATCAAAATATGTTCTGGTGTCTCAAGTCTCTTTCTTTTCCCATTCACTCTAAGAATTGAACTCCAAACCTTCCAGGAAATGGAAAACACATCTGGCCTCACTCCTTCCTCGCTGCATTCGTGGTGGAGTGCATGTCTAATCCCTCCAAACAGTCTTTGGGTTTTCAGTTTTATCTTTCCATACCAGTCACACTTAGTGCATAACATTGTGATGTAATTAACCTGACTTGACCAGTGTAGTAGGGCTGACTTCCTCGCAGCAGGATAGATCTTTAAAAAGAAACTAAAAATTTATTTTTTCTTGCGTGTGAACACATATTTTGGTATGCTACAAAGTAGATTCTGGAGGCAATTTGGTGTGCTGATACAAGTCCATACTCCATCCTCCCTCTGTCTGGATCTGTCTTTTCCATAATTGCCAATTATTCCCCCAAATAGAAAAGTGATCAAATAAACAGTGAATGTTTAAATTTAAAAAAAAATACAGTAAATGACACATTGCCATTAACTCCCCTCAAAATACTCCTCCTTGCTTCAAACACATTTATCCCATCATTCTTGCCATTTTCCAAAGCAGTGCTAGAAGTCCTCTTTCTTTACAAGGCATGATCAAAAATACAGTGAATGCTGTTGCCAAATGCCATCTAATAGAAGGCAGGTTGGTGAAAACATTACAATGTGTTCTCATCCACTTCATTCATCTGCCACTGTGAGACTTCTGGCTCTGATAGTCAAAATAAGCATAAGAGGAAAATGTTTTAAATCAATTCAGGAAATCAAGACAGACATGACAGTACAGCTATAGACTCTCACAAAAAAGGACTCCCCGAACTTCTTCAGGAAGTGGCACAAAAGATAGGATAAGTGTATTCCAAATTAGGAGGAACATTTTGAGAGGGATTAATGTAAATGTATTTTTTACTGTAATTACTTTAAAAAATTTATATATTCACTGTATTTATCCATCACATATCACACACAAGACAATAGTGCTTTGATATTAACATAAAAATGGCATAAAATGAAATAAAATCTCAAAAAGCGTTTTGTATAATCAGGGACATTTAAAATCATGAACATCCTTCCACTGCCTCACAAACATTGACAGTTTATAAAAAATGTAATGGTGAAAGCAAAAATCTATTTAATTTCAGAACCAGTATTTCTTAGAACTGTTTGATTAAACTTGTTTTTAAATTACCTATTAAAGGGTTGGGGATTTAGCTCAGTGGTTCCGCCGCCTGCCTCGCAAGCGCAAGGTCCTGAGTTCGATCCCTGGTACCAAAAATAAAAAAGTAAATAAATAACCTATTAAAATTCCTCAGAACTAGTATTCCAAGGAACTCAGTTCTGGAAATATCATAG